TCAAGACAAGCATTTTCTAGAAGGGGTTCTCATCATCAAGAATCGAAGAAGATCGGAATTGTTGAAGAAGGTGTCAACCTCTTTGTGCACTGGCTTTTTCAAAGGTAGCCCTTGCACGTCTTGTACATCTTGCCATGCCAGCAGTTTGTAGAGGCAGTCTGACGTGTCCTGGACAAGCACTGCGGTGCATCGAATATCAATTGCGTTCTCGAGAACTGAGTGGTTCAGGATGGTTCAGGTATGTTCGGGGACACGGTGTTCCAGGTTCCAGAAGTTTCCAGAAGTTTCCAGAATCTGTTGTGAAAACTCGTTGTTTTGGGGTCGTTGCAAAGCTCGAGACAAAAGCTGGCAAGGGGATCCGGGAAAAAATGCGAATGACAAAAACGACCAACGACGAAACATTTCCGACGAATGGTGTGACGTGACCTTCGCCCCTGAGTAACTCCTAGATGGATACGTTTGAAATGCGACATCACGTATGTTTTCATACCGCATTGTGACCGAATTGTGACCTCATACGACCGTCAAATCAAAGGAATCTCCAGCACAGGGAAAACGGATGAAAACGGGAAAATACCGGCTTCACGTCCCTCCAACTCCGGCTGGTACCCCAAAGGTAATAGGAGCTCTGCAAAGGAACACCGTCCTTGTTTTCCAAGTGGTCGAAGAGAGGACGTTTCCTGCACATTGCGCACACCGTGCATGCCGGAAAATGGCGATTTTGCATCTTGCTTCTCCCAACAGCAGTAGATTGCATCACGGTGCATCTTAGACAACACCTAAGAAAACAAAAGATACCAACCTTCCGTCCATCTCTACCTTAGACACATTGCGCACATCCACAGACCAAAGTGATATTGCTCTCTCCAATTGCACACATAGCAACGAGCATAGCAAGCAGAGCATAGCAAGCACACAATGTAACCACACATACTTCGACTGCTTCAACTGTTAGCCTTCAGCCTATGCTGAAATTCGCTTGATCGCTTTGTCTCCAGGGCTCCGGCAGTTGGATTTTGCTGCCATTTCTCGACATGACTTTGGGATATGCCTGGACACACATGCAGAACTCTGAACGACAAAGAAATTGAGGAAATTGACAAACTTCCAGATCACGTGTTGGTCGAATGTTTTCGAGGTGAGTGTGCTCTTCAAATTAGTATACTACCAGTTGCATCAGTTGCATCTGTTGCATCTGTTACATCATTTTGCATCATGTTGCATCGTGTTGCATCATGTTGCATCTAATTTCTACCTCATCAAACTGGATCTAGCTTTGTGGAGCTTCAGCTTGTAGCTGCCTATTGACATCTATTGACATGTATCGCCAGATGTGAAAACTGTTTTGGTTTGACTTGCTCCAGGGCAGCGAAAAATGGAAACTTTTGCAAAAAGCAAAAATGACAGGACTAGAGAGGACTAGAGAGGACTGGACGGGATTGGACGGGACTAGACACGAGTTTGCTCAAAGAATTCTAAAAATTCGGAGAGCCTTTGTCTTTGAGCAGCTTCCCGAAGGGGTCATCAAAGGGGTCATCAGCAAAGCTGTGGCCAAGCCAGGTCATCTTTTCAGTTAGGGCCTCATGGGGACAAGAACAAGCATGGAAAAATATACCATGAAATTCATGATTCATTTCAAAATCAGCATCAAAAACATTAAACATGAAAACAAACATGAAGTTCTCGAGCCATGTGACATCTAGTGATGTCGGCTTCGGAGCTTGGACAGTGACAGTATCGACGTTACGAATCGACCACATTTCTGTCACATAGAAAGACTTTTAGAAAGACACTTAGAAAGACTGTCGTGAAAGACTTACGACAGACTCATCTGTCACGACACATGTCACATCGACTCTGGCTCTGTCGTAAGCTCTGTCTAATGCTCTGCGCCTCCAGCGGACTTGCAGAGCCATGGATGACGTTGTCGCCCACATGTGGCTTCCAGCTCAGCCCAAGCCTAAGGTCAGAACACCATGCCGTCGTCAACATACGGTAAAATCAACAGCAAAATCAAAGCATGACCTAAGGCCTGTCACTGACCATTAAGACGTGTTAAGACGTGTTAAGACGTGTTAAGACGTGTTAAGACGTGTTAAAACCTTTCATTTCGAACAAATCTTCTCAGGTTCTGATTCACATGACAAGTGTGTGTGTGTGTGGTCGTGTCAGTCTTGGTTCCACTTGGTTCCACTTGGTTCCACTTGGTTCCAGGCTCTTGCCACTTGTTGAAAAAGTGGCCACGGATCGAGCGCGGATGCTTCTCAGCCGCTGTTGCTGGATCTGTTTCGCCCACAATTTCTTCACGAAACCTCAGCTGAAGCCATCGGACCAACTGACCAGCTGAAACCAAGCCGAACAAGCCGAAATCTGATGCACACTGCAAAGATCTGCAAAGATCTGCAAAGCAGAGCAGCGGAGTAAAAAGGCAATTGCGGCGAGTCGGTGAGCAAAAGTATGTTTTTTACATGCAAAAGTCTAGGAGTCTAGGAATGCCTTGCCGCTGCCCTCGAAGCTGCAACATGCAACGAAAACATACGAAAACATACGAAAACATACGAAGCACCGAAAGCACCGAAAGCACCGAAAGCACCAAAAGCACCGAAGCATCTCATAGGCCTGGTGGGACTCCTAAGACTTGTATGGCTGGACTTGCAAAGTCCCGTACTGATGTCATGTTGCAAGTCTTAGAACAGAAGAAACATCATGAGTCAATGAGTCAATCATGAGGTTCACAAACATTTCCTACACATCATACACAAGTCACTGCTGGTGCCCAATCTGCTGTGTTTGGATCCCCGGCGTCTTCCAAGAGAGGACAGAAGGTTCCCACTGGATGCACAACCAGTAGACCGAACTGCGCCAGAGTGATAGACTCTGATAGACAACATTACAATATCTACAATACATGACAATGAAGTATAAAACAGTGTAAATTATAAACACTATAAAACTATTTGTTCTGTTCAGCTCCTAATCTTGGGTGTCTGAAGAGATCTTGCCGAAAGCTTTAGATATGCCAGAACGGTCAAAACGATTCAAAGGGAGAAGAGCCACGATTCAATACCCAGTGCACACCTGCCAGGCAGGAGGTACTTGTCCCTCATGGCCATGTAAAAGCCATTGATCACCTGAAGGCTCAGCAAAGTCATCCAAAAGGTCTCCCCAGACTCTCGTTGTAAAATCTCTAAGGTCTCTTCGGTTCAAAAAATCTGCGGTTCGTTCGTTGCAGGTTAGATGGTAGCGTCTTGGCGCGGGACGAAAATGCCCCGGAGAGAACCGCAGTAGAAGCCACCCCCAAACTTCACCTTACCAACACCTGGCATTGAAAGGTGAGGCACGTAGGCACTTTGTATCGGGCACTGTACTGGCAAAACACGTTTTCAGCTGCAAGCACAACTTAGACACAGTGATATTGACACGCATTCACACCAAGCTGAAGAACCGCACCCATTTTCAGCGTGTCCCAATGCGTTCCGAGCTCCGTTGGAGTCCAACCCAACCTTAATGCACGACAGCGAACAGAACGTAAGCCCCCTCAAGCTCACGCAGTGCGAGTACATCGTGTCAGCGAAATTCAGCGAAGCATCCCACCTGGTGGTCCCACCTTTCCCTGTGCAAATACCCTGCCCTCTCTGTGCCTCCTCTGTGCCTCCTCGGCATTGCAAATCAAGTCCTGGCAATGCCTCTTGGCATTCAAAGCAATGGGCACTAGTTTGCAAAGAGTTTTAAAATGTTTAAAGATGTTTAAAGTAGTTACTAAGTTATACCTTTATACCAAGTGAAAAACCAAGTTATACCAAGTAACTTCAAGTTACTGATTAGTTGTGCGCAAGTTGTTTCTGTAGGGCCCCTGTACGGCCCCAAAGGGCCCTGTAAGGCACATGGGTGAAAAATGGTGACATGGCAAAGCGCAAAGCGCAAAGCTTCAGTCCTTCTCCAGGGCAAGTTCCCAGGAGATACCAAAGCATTCCTGCGAACGAATCCGACAAGTTCAGTGACAAGTTCAGTGACATGTGAAACCTGTGAAACTTTTATGTGACATGTTTGGACATGTTTGGACATGTTTGGACATGTTTGGACATGTTTGGACATGTTTGGACGTGTTTGGACATGTTTGGACATGTGTGGACATGTTTGCAAAAAGAGGACGAAAACGTGGTCCCGAAAAAGGGCATGCGTACCTGTTGGCAAAAGTCGAGTGGTCGAGCATGTGATGATTTGAAATGTGATATTAAAATGATACAAAATGTGAATCTTCAAAATTGAGTCACAAGGTCACAAGGTGTCCTTGAAAGACTGCTGACCATCTTGCGGAACAACCAAGTCGCGAGGAATCATGAATGCTTTCTCTGCAAGAGAACCATAATGTTTGTCGATCAAGGACCTTGCGCTTTTGTTTGCCAAGAAATCATGTTGTATGCACTCCTTCGACTGTATCTAGTAACATTTCCCTGAGTTGCCTTTAGGATCCTTTAGGCATGTTGCTCATCCATGCTCATCCTGCAATATCCTCGAACACCTTCTACACATTTCCGAGTGTGCTTGGTGCCAGGCTTGCTCTCGATTTCTTTCGCAGTGATAGTCCCAGTCTGGCCATACCAGGCGGGAATGAAGAGATTACAAAAAGGAAAACAGAAAAGAAGATAGATTGCAAATAGATGCAAATGGAATGACGTGAAATGGATTGATCATAAATCAGATTGTAAATCCAAATGTGCTCTGACCAAAGGTTTGAGTGTGCCTCCAAAATCTTGATGCGTCGCTCTTTCAAATACTGCTGGACGTACTCTTGAGTTTTTTCCTGGGTCTGAAAAAGAGTTTCTTTGTGCCGCTAAGGCAAGCAACATTGGCGACAGAGAAGCGCCCTCAACAAACAAACAAACAAACAAACAAAAAATTATTGAGATGTGAAGCGACATGCCACCGAATGAGAGTGACACAAGAGACAAACCCGAGGCCGGTGCATTATTCGCATGAGGTTTCAGCATCAAAAATGCATGATTCTGGCAGCAATTGGCATTCACATGTCTGCGACTCTTCATGGAGTTTGGACATTGAAGGTGTCAAGAGTATCTTGGTGTAACTTGAAATTGGAATTGTTTCAGATGATGTCATGTATGAAATTTGTGTATAGTGCAGCGGATTTGCCTGGTTCTTGGAAGCCGCTACGGAACGCATTTCCTTGACAAAGTTTGACAACGGCCCAACATTGTATGAAAACGCCAATTTATTTTATCAAAGTCACTTTATCCTGAAAATATACGCATGGGGCCCACACTGCACTTTCAGAACTAGTCTCTGTAAATCCAAAACAAAGCAAAGTTCACTGCACGGCCAGCTAGGTGCCTGATTTTGGTTCTTGGATTTAGGTCTTCTCGGAAAATCGCCTTTCCTGCATGTTTCAGTGAACTCTTTCACAAGGGAAAAAATGACGAACCCACTGGAACATCCTACCTGAATATAGTTCTCAATGCTGAACTTTTGGATGACCTGGTGAGGGTGTTGTGCAGTTGTTGATGCGAAGCGCGACGACTCCAAGGCCACCGCTTAGTATTTGTTGCTGCAATGGCCGTGAGGCCGAAAATCGACAGTCGTGCGCCCTGCACAATGCACTTCCGCTGTTTCACAATTTTTTGTTTGTCAACAAACTCACAACGGCCTGTGGCGGTGGTGGATCTATTCCAGACCATGGCCGACACCTTGGAACGTTGATTGTTTTCAGCTGGGCTGCCATCTTGATGGCCCAAATTGGGCCTTGATTCAAAACAATTTGACAATGGCAGAACTAAATGAAAAAATTGAACGTTTGATGATTTTTGTATGGTGTGGCGGGTCCAACGCAACCGAATTTTGTTTGCAACCCGGTCCACCAACTTTCACGCTGACTTTGCAATGCTGCACTGAACGTTGCAGCGGCCTGGAGTCCAGAACGATCTTTGGCCTGGCATGCGCCTCATGGGAACCGTTGGTTCAAAAAATATCACGTGGGATTTTAGTTACTTCAGGACGCTTCAGATTTCTGTGAAACAATGCCCCCAAAGGTGCCTGAAATTCAGGCAGTGTATAACCAGTCAGCATTTTGAACCCAGGCAGCTGCGGCCTTGGCAACAAAGTTTTGTCCGAAAATTGCCTTTCAGTTTCACATCAAAAAACAACAAAACGAGGTTACTATCTTAATATGAACGGAACAGTCAACGCATCCTCATTGTGAAATGATTTGAAATTCAAATGCTGCTTGTTTTTGGTCCAAAAAACATGTTTTTGGGTACATAAAATGCATCAACAACACAAAAACTGCAGCAAGCCCCATGGAAAACAAAAGTCAAATCTCTCATGTTGGCCACAACTGACATGCACGGCTAAAGCACTTGCATGCAAAGGACTTGTTTTCACGAAAGGGGGCCAATGCGGCTCGACTAGGCTATGGGTCTGGCCTAGTCAGTTTTCTGCAAAAAGGGTTGCGTGCGCGGGCACTTTTCGAGTGATTAAAACACAGTGGCCTACCCACCCACCCACCCACCTCTTGAGAGAAACTTCGGAGATCACTGAATGGATGTTGTGACCCGAAATTGCAAAAGCTGAACGTGAAGTCTGGCTTTGTATGCTGGCCACAACTGACGGACAGGCAAGCGTCCTTTTTCTGCAAAAGGGGGCCGAAGCTGACTGGCTACCCGCCTAGGAAGCTTAAGAAGCGCTGGGTTGGGACCAGAGCACTGTTCAAACAGTAGGGTGGGCGCTTCACATCAAATTTGAAAGGCGGCACCCACCTCAACCCTCCCTTGAGAGAGAAAAAAAAACTTCGGATCATATGTTGTGACCCGGAATGAAATTCCTTAGCCTACCAGCAAGACAATTCGATCACTGAAGTGAGCTGCATCGTCTGGCTTTGTATGCTGGCCACAACTGACGGACAGGCAAGCGTCCTTTTTCTGCAAAAGGGGGCCGAAGCTGACTGGCTACCCCCAATTTATCAGCTGGCCACCTGCAAGTTCTTTAACAAGTTGTCGAACCACAACACTGCAGCAGCAGACTCGTTGGTGGCGTCTGCAAGAAGAGGATGTGGAACATTCCTGGAGGGGAAGTCGCTGATGTTAGCTTCAGTAGGTACTCGAGCGTACCAAGTGCACAAGTTGTTGATTGCCTCACGCTCCAAATGGTATCTCATCAGTGCAGAGGCAACTTTGCTCAGGCATGTACCACGTATCAAAGAAAAACGCACTCCATCATTGTCACCATAACAGACCTGTAGTCACCATAACAGACCTGTAGTCCGTTCACCATCCGATCTGCCCAAAAGTCAAGTGCTAAAACTGCGGCAGCCAACTCCAATTCGTAGATGATTGTTTCTTTGTCATCTGCACCGAATCTTCTGCATTGTGCCTCATCCAAAGGCAAACCAAACCAGCTTATGCATTCACCCAGATCGTTAAATAGCGCAGCTCCCAGTCCGCCGCAACGCAACTCTGGTTCAAAAGCAGCATCGGTAAAAACAAACCATTGTTTCATCGCCTGTGCAGAGACGATCCTCGGAGCGCAAATGGAAAGCCTTTGGATCATTGCTTGCAATCCAACCTTCAGTTCATCACGCAACTTTGCACTCCTGCCGTAAGCATGCTCTGAGAGCTGTTTCAAAATTAGTAGGCCCAGTCTCCCATGCAAGAAAGAATCCGCAAAGCCCAGCTTGCCTCGCAGGATCAGTGCATCCTGTTTTCCCAGTTCACCAGATTTCAAAGTTGCATGGAGCATCGCCAGCAAATCAGCAATCCGCTGTTCTGTATTCTTCACCATCAAAACACGTTCACCAGAACTGGATAGATCAAATTGTACTCCAAGCGCCTTGCAAATGGCTCCAAAACTTGTAGCCTTTTTTCCATCCATATCAAACTTCCAACCAGTGAGCATGAAAACCAGTTCCATAGAGTTCTTTGAAGATTCAACGCTATTAGGCAACGACGCCAGGATGTAATCATCATAGAAGTTCGTGGTCAGCAGGAAAAGTTCCCTTGTGCAGATCGTGTACAACATCCTGGCCAGACGTAGGAAGCTGTACACGCTGTGTGTTGCTCCGAAAGGTAAGGTGCGTAGCTGATACACCTCTGGTCTGTCAAGCTCGCAGTTGTAGATACAGAAGAAGGAGAAGCGCAGGTGTTCTTCATGAATTGGAACCTGCCTGTAAGCGCTTTTTAAGTCGTACGTCTTCGCCACCAAATTGCTGGCCCTCCCAGTGGCTTCGCAACATCTGAAAAACTCACGTACAACTGCAGCAAAAGTATCCACCATATGCAAGTCAACCTTATTCTGTGAGGAGGCTGTATCATTGATACCAGAAATCGTAAAATCATCGATCATACGCACCTTGTCGCGCTGCACCAAGGGAAACCTCCTCGATACAACGCAGCCATCAGGAACTTCGGAAAAAGGTCCAATGGCCCACCCTTTCTTGACCTCCTCACGCGTCTCAAACAGCAATTGCTGATCAACTCGAACATTTCCAGAAGACTTGCATGCTGACAGAATGGCCTGATTTCTGGTTGGTGCTTCTTTGAGCAGCTGTCCCATGGTCAACATGCAAGGTTTGTAAAGCTCTTGAAAAGTGCTGCACTTGGGAATCTCGCCAGCCAACGGAGAGCCAACCCTGAGCAAATCAAGGACCTCACCATCTTCATATTGCATTGAGGAAAGGATCTCAGCAGTCAGCAAAATTCTTTTTCCAGCAGTTGCGGCCTTGACATGAGCAGGCCTTGTGTCAGCGTCTCGTTGCTCTAAAGCTTCAAGTTCTTTGGCACGTCTGAGCCATTTGCGACACCAGTGCATCCTGTACTCCACCAGAGTTTGTTCGTTCCAAGTCAAATGTTTTTCCAACGCCAGTTGAAGGTCCTTAGGGACCGAAAAGTTCAGCTTTGAAGGATGCCCTGCTTCAACTGCCTTCCGTATAAACTGTTCGCAATCCCATGGTAGGCCAAAAACAGCCTTGTATGACCAGTTGTCATCACCTGTATTTTGCAAAGACTCCTGATCCACCCCCATTGTCGAGTCTGACGCAAAAGAACCACGCAAAAAGCGTGCATACTTTGGGACCAAAACAGATTCTTGCGTCTCTGTCCGCATCCTTAAGGGTGTTTGGAGCTTTCCCAAGGGACCGCAGGGAATGTCTGAGGCATTCTTTGCAAAGAAAACAGCAGTTTGTTGAAAATCAGGAACAAGTGGAGGAATTCTTTGTCCTCTCGGTTGCACTCCAGCCGCCAGTTGGGCATGTTTTGCCAGCAGAAGAGGGTGGCCAACTATGTCATGAATGCAGTTAGGTCTTAACTGCACACCGCGGGCTGAAGCAACCTGTAAAATAACTTGTACCAAAGCTATGCAGAGCTTACGTGGGTACTGTGATTCCTCTGAAGTGGCCCATACTTTTTGGCCTTGTGCATTGGTAGTGAATCCCCATCCAAGGTGCTTGTGTCTGCGATCGCAAACCACGTCCAGCTGAACAATTTCTGGAAAGGATGCCACTATCCTTGTCCATTTGTCTCTTGAAGACCCATACATGCATGCCTGAAAGTCAGTTGCAAACAGCGGGTAAATCCGCTGCAGTTCCAACACAAATGGGATGACCCACAAATAGGAGCCACGAGGGTTTTCCATTGTTGCCAGAATCCCTCGTATTACGCAAAACTCAAAAAGCTGACAAGTGTATCTGAATAATTCATTCGCAATCTCAACTCTTCTTTGGTCAGTCGGGCTCAGGTTGGGTAAGCCCAACGGGTGCTCCAGCGACCGTAGCGGCTGAGGTGCCAATGACAACTCAGGCCTGGGAATTTCCCTGGCACGACTTGCAGTTCCACAAACTGGTGCAAAATGCACCCAAAGCAAAAGAGGCGAAGAAAGCCATTCTTCCAGCAGTTCTCTGTCGGAAGCTTGCAACAAGTCTAACTGATAGATTGTGCACCTTGCATTTGGTTTCCGAGTTTTGTCAACTGCCATTCCACCAAGTCCAAACTGTTTCGAAACTGAGGTGAGGACGGCTCCACCAGCAAACACTTCAAGCATGAATAACTGCTCTATGTGGAGGCCATTCCGGTCTCTAGTTCGGCCATCTAGTCACTTGTGCTGAGAAAGTGGATGTGGCTGCTGACATTTTGGCTCAGCGCAAACATGAAGCCCTTTTGGGCAACGACCCCCTGGCTGAACTGTACCTGAGTGAGCACAGCCTCCAGACGTGTTGAACGCAAAACAGATCGGCTCATTTGATGCCGTCTTATGATACTTCCCACGCAACTCCTGAGGCATTGGAGGAGTCTTGCCTTTGCCTGATTTGCCTTTGCCTTTTCCAGCCTGGGGTCTGGGTCCAGCTGCAGCATAAGGCGCTGGCCTTGTAGTAGAACCACTCGCATGCTGAACAGGTTTGGCCAAGGGTGCCAAGTAAAGTGCAATCGCTGGATCGCTTTTCAGTCCAAGCAAGGCCTCACCAAGAGGAAAAGTTCCATCTGCAGCCTCACGTGTGGTGATGTTCAGCGTAGCCAACCTAGCCCATGCTGCTTTGTCACAACTCACCACCTGTGACAAGCTTGCCTTGCTGTAACCTGGTGGCACTTCGCGATGCAAGGACTCAAACAAAAAGTTCACCCAAGCGCTGTGCTGCTGAAACGTCATCACTCTTGCAAACGCTAAGGCCACTGCTCGCCTGCTGAGGGCGTAGTGCAACTTTATCTCTGAGTCCGTTGCACATGTCATCTTGTCATCATTCTTCAAGATCAGGGAGCCTTTTTCCAACGTAAGTTCTCTGGACTTTGGTGTGCCCTGAACTTCCATGCTTCTAGACACACAAACTGAGGGTTCCAGCCATTTGACACTGTTACTGTCAAACATCGCACAACATTTGTCAAGCAAACCATGTGAAGGTTCCAGCTCACCTGCTATCTCAATGCCTCTGAGGTCCTGGCGCAACCTTTCCATTCTTTGAGTTCTCTCAGCGAATGCCACTTTACGTGGCTGAGTTTCATCACCCTGGTCAATCTGTTGTCTCAGGGTCGCAACCAGGTATGTATGAGCTTCAAACCCAAGCCTTTTAAGCGCCGAGGTTTCTGCCAGCGTTGGCGCTCTTCCCAAAGCACGATTCAGAAAATCAGTGACCTCTTGATTCTGTATGGGTTGACCAGGTTGGCCAATCACAAACGCCAACTTCGACAAATTGTCTACTTGTGCTGTAGCTAAGGCTGCCACAAACGGTGGCCCCAAACCCAGTTTCTGACATCGCTCTTCAAAGTGTGCAGAGCTGTCCAGCAAGGAAGTCATGCTCCTAAACTCCTAACGCAACAAAGAAAAGTGAAAACAAGTTGGCAATCACAGCACCTGTCAAACAAGCAAGTGACACATTAAAATGCACAAACATGACAAAGTGAAAGGACATGAACTTCTGATAATGTTGCAGCTTTCTGTCAACATGTAAGTGCAGCTTTCTGCCACTTGATGCAGCTTTCTGCAAACGGAGCTTTCTCCGACCCTCTGAGCCATTGATATACGCAACTTGTGAACTAAACGCAGCTTTCTGCCCAACTTGAAATGCAGCTTTCTGCAATGAAATGCCTTTGCACCAAAACGTCTCAAACTCAACCAAGGCTCAAAGGACACTCTTTTTAAACTCGTGCACTCAGCTTAACGACGTCTGGCCTTGTTTAAGGCTGCGTCCAAGGCTCCTGTGAGCTGTGAGATATCTCTGATTCTGTTGCCATCTTTTGGAAAGCATTTCAAGCACTTCGGCCAACGCACTTTGATCTCACGCGGCATCTGTTGCAGATTGCTTGTAAGTGGAGTTCCACACGCCGCCACCCTTTGGCCACACTTCACTTTGTGAACAATGGCACTCTTCTTGTGCTTGTAAAATTCAAAGCCCATCGGGAATGATTTCCACAAAAGCATGCACGTCAGGCCGCTTCACAATTACTTCATCACTGCTTGATGAGGAGGAGCTGTCGCTGCTGCTCTCACTTCCCGAGGAACTGTTCAACTCAATTACACCAGTATCCACAACTTGCAAATCAAACAGCGAAATTCTGGATGCAGCCGCACAGATTTGTGTCTCATCCAGCAGCTCCTCTTTCACGCTCTCTGCATCTCCAGCTGCATTAACCTCTTCCGCTGCACGGGCAACAACATCTGTTGCCTGCTCAACCACTGGAACTGGTGGCAGTGGCGTGACTGGCTGTGCACCAACAAGTCCAGGCCTTGGAGTCCTTGCGCAGGGAGTTGCAAAAGGGTTTGGAGCCATTGGGTCCTCTTCCAATCCAAGCCCTATACGGACTCTGTGCAGCAGCATGTTGAGCTTACGAAGTGCCCTGGTCTGAAGGTGTCTGCTGTAAACAACTTCTGAACCCTGCAGCGCCGAGGCATGATGCCCAAGCACCGCACGGACTTCTTTGTCCAGTCCAGCCTTTGCCGCCCAAACCAGTAGCGTGGTTTTCAAGGAGTGAGCACGAAACTTCTCACAGTCAGGTGTGCCGCTCAGAAGAAGCCGAAGCCAATCGGCAGCTTCAGGCGTACTCAACGGCCTGGCTCCGAAGGTGCCTCCAAGCCGTGGGGCAGGAAGCAACGGCCCCAATGGCACCTTTGAAATGTCAAGCCCACACTGCTTGTACACCTGTAGAAAAGTCTGCACCCATTCATCATGCGTCACTCCCATCCAAGGCACAACCAGAGGCAAATACTGCTCCCTCCGTACACCCACAGCTGATGTCTTGTGTTCAGAGGTGAAAAGTGTCAGGAATCCATTCCTGCCTTCTTCCACAACCACATGATGAATAAAACGAAGATCTGACCAACGCGCCCTTCCATAGATGCACACTAGCATCACACCGGCTCCCAGTCTGTCAGTTGCACATGTGCCATTTTCCAAAACATCATGAAGTCTCTGTAAGTGAATGAGCTCCAGTGGCAACGCTTGACGCGTTGGTCCTTTCTTCATGCGCTCAATTGCTGCAAAGCCCAACAACCTTCGCGATTGAAGAACTGAATCAGCCTCACGTAATTCCACTGTAAACTTCATGAATCTTACAGTTTCCAAGAAAGCAGAAGTGTTTGTGAATCCTCTGTTGTTTGCGCACCTTGCATCTCTAAGCCATTGGAAAAATGACCAAACATCCGACTCAACCAGTGGCAGCGGGCTCAAATGAACAGAACCTGCATCTGCACGCAATTCTGAATGCCACTTATAGTATCGCTTCAAGCTTGAGGCACGCTTGATAAGAGTCTGAGGACTCTTGATTCCGAAACATGCCTTGAGCGTCTCGAAGGCTGATGAACCAGTGGGATCCTGTTGCATATCCCTTGCAAGAATTTCGCCAACACCGGTTGAGTACCAATCACAAGAGAGCAACTCAAGCCATTGACCGCAAGCAAGCTCAAGCTGCCTGCATTTACTCTCAAAATAATCCAAATCCAGCACATTTCTCACAGCTTTGTCATAACATGAGTCCAGTGGTTTGAGGTCACTGCTTTGTGCTGTGTCCACCGCAGCTATCACCTGTTCCATCAGCTCGGTGTCCGGCTCTGGCAACTGATTTGTCGGGAGTTCCAAAAGTTTCGAACTTCCAAAAATCTCAGCAAAGACTCCAGTCTCCCAAGGTAGCAGCAAAGAACTAGAATGCTGTGCAAATTGTCCATAGTTTGCTGCAACACCCAATTGCCATTGCGATGAACTCACTGTAGGCTGAGGTCCAGGCACATCTGTGGGCACGGTGGCACTAGGCTCAAAAGCCAGGCTGGGGCTAGGACATTCTGAAATGATCTCTGTTCTCTCCAAGTTGCCGCCATCATCAAGGGGCCAAGTGCAAGAAACGTTGTCAACATGAAACAAAGGTGAATGTACTTCTACATCACTCTGAGGGCAAGACACGTTTCCAGCAGGCACTGATGCAAGTTCATCCATGGATTCAGAAAGCCATGCAGAAAACCCTTCAAAGTCATCCTGTGGCAATGTCTGTACGCCATCTGCAGTAAGGTCGACACAACCTGAATCAGAACGAAAATCCATGGCACGCCCCCCTACTCGCTTCACATCAAATTTGAAAGGCGGCACCCACCTCAACCCTCCCTTGAGAGAGAAAAAAAAAACTTCGGATCATATGTTGTGACCCGGAATGAAATTCCTTAGCCTACCAGCAAGACAATTCGATCACTGAAGTGAGCTGCATCATCGCACAGCTACACTCTGTTTTGATCCGCAGGGCCTCAAACATAAATGTATTGAGGTTTGAACCATGTGACGTGTGACATGGTCTGCACATGTCTGTTACACTTCTGATATGCGCGTGTCATCCCATGACTGCAAAGACTCAGACAAAAACGCTGCAATCTGTTTTGTGCCAAAAGGGGTCTCACGAAATTCAACTGAACGTGGTGTTCATGTCAGTAAGTGAAATGACAATGCAACACTCTTCTCGATTTGTGCGTGTCATCCTGGCACATGTGAGTAGGCTCCACAAGTTTCCACACTCCTCCTTTGCAAGTTGAGGTGTCGCTCACTTTGCAACCATTTTGAATTTCACCTTTCCAACGCAAGTTTCAGAACTAATGTCTGATTCTGCATATCTTCGAGTGAAAAAAATTGTAAAGCGGCGACTGAAAACACACTCACTTTTCTCTTGAACCGCAGGGCCTCAACATTCACATGATATTCATGTGGAATGAATGCTAATGGCAAAAGTGTTCAATGACTTCTCGATTTTGTGCGTGTCATCCTGGTGCAGGTGGCCATGCAACCATGTGAGTACAATTGGAATTTCTTTGCACTCCTCCTTGGTGCACGTGAGTTTCAACTGGGTGCACCATTTGAAGAAATTTTCACAGCCACTGCATGTTTCCAGACACGTTCCTTTCCTTAAATTTTTTTGCTCTCAATCACAGGCATTCTAGGGAGTTGCCTGCATTCCCTTCGAGAATTGTTGAAAGCACTCACATTGAATTCCTGTAGCTCGTTGCATAGTCCATGTACTGATCGGCTAAGACTCCATTTCCACGACGACGAACACGTCGAGATAGATGTTCCATGCGGTCAGCCATGGGGTTGAAGGTTTCCCGCATGAAATTTCGATCTCTCAAATCCTGGGTTTGGAGGGGATCCAACAGGATCAGAATTGTATGCTGAAGTTCTGCAGCATCATCCCAAGATTCAGACGCAAGAGCATCATCAAGCTGCGTCCGCAAATCATCAATTGTAGCTTCCAACTCTCCACCACGTGTTGTGAGGTCACGATCTGGATTGAGCATTGCATTGTCCACTTCCATGTCGGATGTGGGGTTGGAACTCTCAGCGTTTTCTCCATTCAACTCATTGTTGGGTCTGGTACTGGCTGCTGCTGCACCTGAACTTGCAGCTGCTGCTGTTTCTGTTTCAACTGGAGGATCTGTGTCTTCACCGTGTGTATATCCTCGGGACTGAGCGCGGATTGTCCTGAGGTATTGGCTTGTACCCATAGTTGTTCGTGCAACAAGATTGCCACGTTCTTGGGTGTACATGTGGCGTCGTTGGGCAGGCGTGAGGTCATGTGTTCTCACATAGCCGCCCACTTCTACCAAGCCAAAGTGTAGACCATCTTGACGGTCACTCAAAGCTTCCATGTCCACTTCTTGTTTGGCAACCTGGGTAGTCAGCATGGCACAGCGCTGACTCACATCATCCAACTGCAATCGCAAACCATTGATTTCACTTCGAAGTTGTGGAACTGCAACCATGTGCTCACCAATTGTTGTGTCGGCTTCTGCAACCTGAACACTGAGATGGTAAAGATCACGCAGCAGTTTCGTCACATAGCGGCGCACCACAAAACATCCAATTGCAAATGCAATTAAGATGAAAACCATAAGCATCACACCAACTTTGACCACCACTTCTCAGATGAAGGTGAAGTGTCTGCCAAACAAACTGGCTGACCCATAGCGCCTGTTGGCCCAAGGCCCATAGTTGCGATCACTCTGGCAACAACTGTTGCCAGCTGCACCACATCTTTTCCCCCAGCACGTTGTGAAGTTTCTTGGAACTCCTCCTGCCCCACACGTCACGTTCATCTCCAAACCTCAAAAAGACACCAAGCTGATGCAGTAGCAAACGCAGTCTCTTTGAACTAAGCACCTTTGTGCCTGCGTCAGCTACATTCCAAACTGTGGAGATCTGGGACAGGATGATGGCCTTCTCCTGGACCAAATTCTGAATCCAAAGAATCTTTGCGCTGAGGCGTTTGATTTTGCCAACTCCTTGTCGGGCAGCAAGTTTGCGTGCACTGCTGCTGTCTGTCAGCAGGTAGTGTTCAATGGTGGCCCTTGTAACAAACTCTGCACAACGTCGAAGAAACAAGCCATCAGCCAACGTTGAAACCATACCATGAAGTTCACTTTCACAAGAAGAGAGGCTAATGACCGTTTGGGTACGGCTGGATCCAAACATGTATGCACCACACAAAAGATGCATGCCAGGTGAAGTGGATCGACGGTGGCGTTTGTCACCTGACCAATCACTGTCACTGAAACTCTCAAGCACCCAAAACTTGTCATTGGATTGTTTCCAGCGTCCACTGCCACCAACAGGTTGTTCAAGCACAACTGCATAATCCTGAGTAGATTTCAGGTATCCAACCAGCTTCTACAGGCTCTGAAGTGAGCCAATGGTTGGCTTGCTCATTCTTGATGCCAATTCCTTGACAGGAAAGACAGTATCAGGTCGATCTCGAGAGAGGTACAGGCAGACAGACACCAACTGCCATTCGATAGAAACTTGCATCCCACTTGAAAGCTCTTTTGTTGTATCTTCATGTTGCAAACTTGCATCTCCCGGCATGGATTGTAAACGCACATGCTTTGCTTCCACCTTTTGAACCATCGATGTTGGTACCAGGGATCAAAGCCAAACCACCTGGAAGTCGTCGAACGCGACGCTTGAGAAAACTGATTTCACTACCAACATCTCCAAGTCCACTGTAGCTCACTGTGAAAGCCTTTTGAAAAGCAGGGAGAAAAACCTCATGCTAGAATTTTCGAGAGCCTGCATACATGATATCGTCCACATGAGTGAGTAGACAAAACTCCACTCCTCTGCACGAACAAGGTTGTTCAGGACACCACTCAACGTTGCAGGTTTTGTCAAGGAAGGATCGTAGAAATTGATACCAGCTCCTGGCTCCTTGTCTCTGTCCAGGAAGGTTTCTGAGCACGACATAGCTCCCGTTGCCTACCTTGATCTTCAGCACCTCAGGTTGTGGGACCATCAAAAATGCGTCCTTGACATCCAGAGTTGAAAGAATCCAGCCACTGTTGGTTTCTGTGCCCTCAGCGGCTTGGCTGTCAGCAGTCTTTTGTAGCCAAAAAGGGGCAAAAGATTGAGCACATGTGTTGAGCTTGCAGGTGCAAAGGTATCCTCAAGGCGTTCAAGGAATGCATATTCCCTTGCAACACATCGGCTTCTTCGAAGCCACTTCTTGACAGCAGGTTGGTCATTGTTGGGACCTTTGAAATCTTGTTGACCACCATAGCGTGTGGTCAGCTTTGAATGCACTGGCTCTTTGTAATCGTCCTCTTTCATCAAAACACCCATGCTGCAAAGCCGTTGTAATTCCACACTGTCAGCCAGTCGATCTACCCAAGCTGGGGGGGCAGGAGGGTGCACTGAAGGATCAACGTCAGACCACAATGCCTCTGACATGCTGTCACCAGAAAGCTGATCTTCTGCATTCCATGGATCTTCATAGTCCATGTGGCCGTCCAACTGAGGGTCATCCTCATAGTTGTCCATCGTGCAATATTCCTCCTCTGCAAACTTGACAACACGTACCATTGAATTGTGCTCCTCTGTCAGCCTGGAAAGCCTGGCCTTCTTGGATAGCTCCACCTTGGGGCGCTTCTCCTCATCGGTCTCATTCTCATGCATTCTGATTGTTGAATCTCCCCTTGGTGAAGTGGGAGTAGAAGGGGCTTCCAAAAGATGCAAAGGTGTTGTGGGGGAATCCAAACGCAAACTTGGATTGGGGACTTCTTCACCAGTCCCATCATCAACCAACTGAACATCATCTTGGCCAACTGGATGAGCTGCACCTGAACCACTGGGTTGCACCGGGCCGTCATCGTCATCATCACCCCAGATGTTGGTTGGATTTGGAAAAGTCCTTGCACCGGAAACTTGCACCAACTCCTCCTCAACTGCAATGCTAGGTCGGTCAAAAAGACCCATTTGTTGATTTTCCAGTTCTTCTTGCTTTTCCTCTCTGGCCTTCTCAATCACAGCTGCACCATCAGCGTCATAGAAGGCTGATGGTTCAATTGCTCCTTGAGGCTGCTTGAAACTGGCACTGATTGCATCACGTCGGCCTTTCGTAGGAACTACTCTCCCTCCAAAGCCACTCTGGTAATCATATGAAGGGCACTTGAAGTTGACAGTTCTTGAAAGACATTCTTATGTTGCTACGGAGAAAGCGGGAAGCGAATAACGCAAGTATATAAATATCGTACACAAATAAAACCCGATAATAAATGAAATAACAACAGACGCGATTGCAATACCAAACAGTAATTCATAATTTTATTAAAATAGTTAATTTCAAGTTTATATTTAATATTTTATTTTATTATTTCAACTTGCTGATTTCTATGGATGTCTGATCCATAGTCTGTTCAACGCCGCACCATATGAGATGTTTCATCTCACATGGATTATCGCACAACCCCCCGAGATATATTATCTCCTGAGATAGCAAAACCCCATGGATTTTCCATGGGAGGAAAGGAGGACAAAGCCGACCAAGAGCAGGACAGGTGAAACCAGCCATCCAGGGTGGAGAATAGCGAAGGAGTGGGTGGGTGGGAAAGAAAAAAGATAAAGCTGCAACATAAGAATGCCTTATGTACTTGAGCCAAAATGTACAAGTACATAAGGAAGATCTGCAAAAACAACATGAACAAGTACATGAATAGTTCTTGAAAGACATTCTTATGTTGCTACGGAGAAAGCGGGAAGCGAATAACGCAAGTATATAAATATCGTACACAAATAAAACCCGATAATAAATGAAATAACAACAGACGCGATTGCAATACCAAACAGTAATTCATAATTTTATTAAAATAGTTAATTTCAAGTTTATATTTAATATTTTATTTTATTATTTCAACTTGCTGATTTCTATGGATGTCTGATCCATAGTCTGTTCAACGCCGCACCATATGAGATGTTTTATCTCACATGGATTATCGCACAACCCCCAAAACAACTATGTGAGAGAAAACTAAACACAAATGAATGAACATGCAACGAAGTAAAATTCATCCCCATCAACAGGTGTGTTCATTCAGCAAGTTGAAATAATGGGACGTCAGGAAGGTAGAGACCAAGACAGGGAAGTGTGACTGGGAAAGACTGAAGGGCGCGGAAAACCTAACCATAAATCGCCTAAGCTAAATCGAATTCGGTGAGCGATGTCCACACCGGGTGGTGGATCTTCATTGAAATTCCATCGAGAAATTGCGTCAGCCAATTCGTTGGCTTTGCCACTGATGTGGGATACGTCCAGTTGGATACCAGTGGTTGTTGCCGTGATACATAATTTTTCCAAAAACAGTGCAAGAGGAAGTTTTGTGGTGAATAAAGAATTGGCTCCAGCCTCCGCGCCAGTGTTGTCAGAAAGACTTGAAATACGCAAACCGTAACGTTGGGCTGGCATGCACCGCGCCAAAAGTTTCACAAAATGGCTAATTGCGCCAAGGTTTCGTAACAGACTATGTCTCGTTGCATATTGTTGTTCACTTCGACATCTAGTTGATAAAAATCACTCGGAGTAAAACGTTCTGAAAACCAAACTGTGCAGTGAGGAAGGTTGATGAAACCACCAATCTGTGCCATCTGACCATGCGCACATGCATCTGCTGCAGCATAAAAATCCAGTGTCGTGGCTGGCCAGATTGATCGAATTGGAGCCATGCGACTCATCCAAGAGGAAAACATATGAAGGGTTCGAATGGAACCTGGCCCTAGGATGCGGCGAGTTGAAGTGGGGTCTCGGATTCTGAGCCACACTCGTCTTTCAGATAAAAGGGAAGATCGCACGTCATCCAGAGTCATCACCTTACGATGTCTGACCTCAAGTAATTTGCCACCAATTGGAATTGCTGTGCCTGGCGGTCTTGACCGAAACGTTAAATCTGTGTCAAGACAGGCGACCATTTCATGCCAATAGCCAGGGTCCACACTGAATTGCGTTGCAGGAATTTTGTGCATGTCCATGTACAAGTGGTGGAGCCAGATTCGCATCAACGGGAAAAGTTGTGTGAGCCACATTGCAAGACCCACCACTTTTTGAATCACCTTCAGAGGTACTCGGTTGTGTTTGAGTAAGGAGGTGATCAACTCCATGAGTTTCTTTTGCTTGTCAGGATGGATTGAAACCAGTCCACTGTAGAAATTGAATTTCCAACCTATCCAGGTGATTGTATGAGAAATCTCGCATTTTTTCCATGATATCGGCAGGTTGATTGCTCTGGAAAAAAGGACCAAAAATGCTGCTGATAGAGGCAAAACTTTTGCTTCTTGCACGAACACAAAGTCATCGACGTAGAGCAATCCAATATGAGGCAAAAATAAGAGACGATGTGCCAGGCGAAGCAAGAATCCGCCCAATCTGCTCCACCAATGGGCCGAGAACGTGGCCCCAAAGGGGCAAACTTTATAAAAGTATATTTTGCCTTGCCAAGCAAATCCTACTAAGCCATGTTCAGAAGGGTGGATGGCTACTCTCTTGTGAGCGCTCTTGATGTCCAAGCTTAATCCAGAGACAGGAGCAGAGGTGTTCCTTAAAGGGGCTGCGAATCAAGTCCTTTGCGGATGGCAAAGAAGCTTTCTCTGGTAGAGGACAATTTTGATTAAGGCCGCAAATTGAGGAGTCTACGACTAGGCGTGGTGAACGAGTTGTTGATGTTGCCACACCGAGCTTGCCCACTGAGACCCCGATTGGGAAGGCTGCCTGGGCGTCTTCCAATGTCCCAGGGAACTCAAAGACCCATCCTTGTCGAAGCTCTTCTTCTACCAACTCAGTTGTGATGGCAGGGTCATCATGCGCTGATTTCCAGCCATCGAAATGCACCGATAACGGTGGAGGGTCATCGTCTGCATCTGCTGTTTGCTCAAAGCAATGAGATGATGGAATGTTGCGCAAATAACCAGTGGGTACCCCGTCAATTAAATGCTTTTTGGGGCGAGCCAAACTCAAACCCCAATAGGGTTTACACAACAAATCCCAAACATAAAAAGGTCCATTGACACCAGGCCATAACACAGTATGGCGTATGGAGGGGATATACAGTTTGGGTTATACGAACAATTATATATACCAGGTGTATATATAACATGTATACCTAAGGTAAACGACCAAACCCAAAACCTAAAAACATCAAAAACAAAATTCACAAACTCACCACAAACATGAATCACATCGACACCACTGTCTGAATGAGATCGCGTCTTTTTCACGTGGGGTGCAAAAACAAATCATGCGTCGAGCATGGTCACATGCCAAATGCATCACGGACCTTGAGAAATCTCCAAATCCAAATGATTCCATCATAATCCAGAAGACCTTGATGGTCACATTATCACACAAAATTTGATGTCTCATGTACCAGCAGAGGGCATTGATCCAGGTGGTGGCGCGTCCTCAGGATCTGTTGGATCTGGAGTTGCCGGGATTGCATCGTGGAGGTCAAATAAATCAACTGCAGTCTGAAAAACGAGGATGGCATCTGTGACGATGCTGAATGGCTCACGATGCAATTCGGTGTCAAAGAAGTCCATGATCCAATCCCGCAGGGTCACTAAAGAGGCCATTGCCAACCTAATAAGGTGGGCCTGCTCGCGCCATCCCGGGCGTAACAACGCCGATAACTTCAAAGCCACTGCTGGGGTGTCGATATGTAGTGCCGTCTCTGCTCGCTGCTCTGGCCACCAACGCTGTTCGAAAAGAAACAATGAGTTGCTCGCGATCTGCCACATTCTGTAAACACTACTCAGAAAGGTTGTGTTTCCGCAGCATTGTAATATGATACAACAACCCTTCAAGATCTCCTCCGCGTTCTCGCAGCGCGTGGCCGAAATGGTCCACGTGTCACCTTCGTTGGGCTCCAGGGTGTGGTTGAGGTACTGGAGGAGGATGGAGATTCCTGTGGCGATCACGGTTAAATCAGATTGCATCTGGACGGAAAAACGAAATGGTCCAAGTGACCAGGGTCCCAGTTGGACAAAACGGTTCGGGATCGTCAGGAGCCAAATGCTCGGTGGCCAAATGCCCCAGTCCATGGACTGACATGGTGTGGGGGGGCGGGTAAAAGTTCCTTGATATTGGGGAATGTACCCCTTCGTATTCCCCATCCACACCTTGAATCCAAAATAGCAACCAGATAATAAATAGATCCCGCGAACATTACTTCACCAAAGACATGTCAGTTGATTTCATCACCATTTCATCCAACTGATGTTGTTCATTGCAATTACTTAAACCAAGGACATGTCATTTGACTCCAGTAATGTTTCATCCGTTTGATGTTCTTTGTCAGAGTTTATTTGGTTCCTGGATTGGTCAACAGTTTTTTTTTTCGTTTGGCGCTCCATACATTACGCTACTCTACCCCAAAAGGAAATGGTGCTACGCACAATAAATCTTTTGGGGCGAGCCAAACTCAAACCCCAATAGGGTTTACACAACAAATCCCAAACATAAAAAGGTCCATTGACACCAGGCCATAACGCAGTATGGCGTATGGAGGGGATATACAGTTTGGGTTATACGAACAATTATATATACCAGGTGTATATATAACATGTATACCTAAGGTAAACGACCAAACCCAAAACCTAAAAACATCAAAAACAAAATTCACAAACTCACCACAAACATGAATCACATCGACACCACTGTCTGAATGAGATCGCGTCTTTTTCACGTGGGGTGCAAAAACAAATCATGCGTCGAGCATGGTCACATGCCAAATGCATCACGGACCTTGAGAAATCTCCAAATCCAAATGATTCCATCATAATCCAGAAGACCTTGATGGTCACATTATCACACAAAATTTGATGTCTCATCTCCCCACTTAGAAACGCATCAATTTTTGTGGTGTGGGTATCTCACACAAAGATTCAGTTCTCCTCAACCCCTCAGGACGGCAACAAGCGCTAATTACCAGGTCTTTTCCTTTCACTTCAAATGTCTCTGAGGGCACAACCAAGAATTGGGCAACTGCATCCATCACGGATGGCGGCCAAGGCTTCCATAAGCGAGCTATCACCCCTAGAGGGTCCATCGCTCGGGTTCGAATGGCTTGGCACACGTGATACCCACAACCAGGACCTGAGGTCTTTTTCGGCAACTTCTAATTAGCACGGAAGTGGGCATTGAAGGACGACCCTTTCACAAGAGCTTCCTTGGCTGACTCGTTGTCTACAAACGCTATAGCCTTCCTACCACCAAGAAATTTGCTCCAGACAAACCGCGCAACAACTACTGCATACAGCTCAACCATTGCAATGACGTGTTTAGAGTTAGCCATCCACGTGTCCACGAGGCTTTGAGGCACATGGCAGGAGAAGTATCTAAACTGTCCATCGACAAACAAAAGGCCACCTATGGTATTCAAGTTTCCCTCGCTGGCACCGTCGGTGAAAACTAGAACCGGCCTGTGTTCATGTGAGCAGGGTAGCTCTCTGGGCCTACCACTGTCTATCCTACTCATCATCAGCTGCAGGGACCCTTTGGCCTCGTTGGACAAGTGAACGAGTCTAGAGTCATTCCTAATGTTGCCTCTGAGTTCAGTCATTGCTAGCTTTCCATCTCTACCCATCACAAAGGAGTCAATGTATTGAAGCCTACCCAAAAGTCGGCTACACTCTCTTGACGACATGGTTCCACTTTCAAGCGCTTTGGTGACAGACGACCTGACTTCATCTATCCTACCTGCTTTGTTACCAATCAGCACCTTGTCTTCGCAAACTTTCTCAAAATCCACTGTGACGCCCAAGACATTGGCTTTGGGTGCAAATGGTTGCAGTTTATGTTTGGCATATTCGAAACCCAAGAGGTCAAGCATGGCTGTCATAGTGCTCATGGTGGAGGTGGCAAGCACCCTCGGCGTAACAACTGGAAAGTCGTCGAAGTAACTACTCCAAGGCAAGTACAGCTGGTAACCTATATGCTGCAATAACCTGGAGCATCTGTTGAAGTGGACGACCGAGGCTGTGGCCCCGAAAGGCAGGACGCGACCTTCGAAACACTGTAATGACTGGTCGACAGGGCTCCTAAGGGCAATAACGGAATACTTTCTGCACTCCGGATGCAGCGCAAATTGTTTGTAGGCATTAGACAAATCAAGAACACTGATCAAAGGTTGGCCGTATGATCCATCGAGGTATGCACTATGCACAGGCGCATCAAGGGTCGTGCCATCTTTTAAGTAAAAAGTCACACGCTTGTGCATCAAAGCTCTGGCGATCGCGGCACCAACCCACACGATTTGGTCAAGTGTCCTAAGGTCAAGTTTATCGGCGTACCCAAAGGCCCCATTGACTTTGTTCTCAGCATAATCGTCGATAGGTCTCAACTTAACCTTATCTCCTGAGTTCTGCCATACCCCAAACCTGCGTACTGGTAGCCAATGTTGCCCAAGTTCCTTAAATACAGCATCTTCGCCCAAAGGTCCCCTCATCCAATGCAAATTGGAGGCTTCTTCACATGTGATGTCCCAGAGCTTCCGCGCGTCGTCATCAACATCACTTGATTTCACCTTTCCCAAAATCGCAGGCCTCAGGAACTTAATAGCATCATGCAGTGACTCCGTTGAAAAGGATGGAGGGCGAGGTTCCAACTCGAAAACCCCTGACGGCTCTTGCAAACCTATGATTCTAAAACCCTCTGCAACCTCTGTGAAAAGGTGTAGGTCAGGCCATTCCATTTTCTCAGCTATCGCCTTCCATAATAGAATTCGTTTCGGCCTCAAGATGGCCTTCACTCCAGGCTCCATGTTTTTCTTCAAATTCAATTCCTCCAGTTCCAGGCTCTTTGCTACACTCACCCAGTGTTTCAACCTGGCTGCTCTTCTAGTTGCTATCTCAACGGGTCCAAGGGAGAGTATTTCAAAAATTACTCTCAGCAACTCATCTGGCACAGCATGGTATAAATCAAAGGGGTGTTTCAGTTGGAAGGCATCGTCAATCCATTGCTTAGGCCCCCTAAAAATACCAAATTTATACCTAATTCGTTTACTGCTGTCTTCCTTATTTTCCCCACTTAGAATCTCTAAAGACAGCATTTTGGCATGTGCTGGCAGGTGGTGCCACGGCCTTGTCAGACATGACTTGGAATCCACAGGCGGTGGATCGCTTGTTGTGATGGTCTGGAATGCTACGAATTCAGAAATGAGTGGCGGCATTCTTTTACCACGGGGTTGTACATTCAGAGCTGTAGATCCCGCGGCGTTGGTGGTGACAAAACCTGGCACTGCATGTGAATGTTCTGGAAAGATGTTAAGAGCCTCTTGGACAATACGTCGTATTTGCACACACAAGGCCCGTGGATAGGCTGCTTCTTCCGCAGTTGCATGAATGAGTTTCCCTTGCTCATCTCGTTTACGACCGTAGGGCTCATGTTGATGGTTTCCAGGACATTCAGCCTCTATACGTGACATCTCTGCAAGAGTGCTCAAAAACGCTTTCTTGGTTGGTCGACTCGACCCCCATGCACAGGCAGTGAAATAAAAGAATTTTGCCACGCCGAACAATTGTACCATCCAGTCAGTTTCCCACAAGTAACTTCTTGCGGGTTTTCAATGGCCCGTGGAATTTGACATTGGTTGCAAAACAAAAGGAATTCGGACAATTGGCTGTAAATTGAATTGGCCGCGTCCACTCTGGTTTGTTCATCAGCACTTAAATGTGGTAGCCCATGGGGGTATTCTGAAGATCTCAACGGTCGTGGCTGCTTCGATCCCCCAAGGTGAATTTCTCGGGCTCTGCTACATGTTCCGCATGGTGGCGCGGCATGAACAAAACACACTTGGAAGTTTCTGACGACATAATGAAGAAACTCCCACGAGGACTTCAGGGTTAAATCCAAGTTGCAAATATGTGCCAATGGGTGAAAACGATTGTGTGTATGGTCAACTGCCATTACATCAAAACCAACTTCTTGGAAGCACCGGCTGAGCATGGCTGTTCCTGCACAAATTTCAATGACCAATGGCTTCGACATTGATCCAGGTTCAGGTGCTGGCTGTCCGACAGGCTTAACCTCTGGCAGCTCATTGTATTGCCCTGCAACTTCTGTTTTAGGAGTCGCGCAAAACTTATTATTGAATTCATCACCGTCTGCAACACTTGCAACGCCAAGTCAGGAAGTCGTTTTACGCATTGGGCAGTTCTGGTATATGTGATCCTGCTTGAAACACCCACGAAAACAACAAATATGTAATCCTTTGCGACAGCGCCCACTCTTGACTGGTAAACTGCACTTGTTCAAATTGTGGTCAAAGCAAATTGCATTTCCACTGCGTGTCCCAGGAACTCCATTCTCCAACCCTTGAGGCATTTTGATGGTGAGGGAGCCTTGAGTTTTCCCTACTTTGCCCTTGCCTTTCGAGGGTCGCGTGTAAGGTCCTGCGCATGGCTAGCTGCTGCATTCTGACCGGATCCACTGGCGCTGGAAGAACCTTTTGCAGTGGGCATTGGCTGAAGCAAATGAAGTACATCAGGGTGATTGACCGCTTGTTCAAAAACTAGGTCAACTGGTCGGCCCCTGGCTGTGACCTGGATTCCACTTCGTGTCAATTCGGCTAACTTCAGGAAAAGTTTTCGGTCAGCATTCACTATTTGCTGGAGAGTTACACGTTGATACCCATCTGGTGGGCTTTCCAGTCTAATATCCAGGATTTTCTCAACCCATGCATCATGCTTGGCATAATCAAGGACATTGCATTGATCTAAAGCTAAACCACGCCTCATCAAGCACAACCTGAGGAGCATGTCATTGGACAGGTCGGCCTCCAGTTTCATTTCCTTGTCCTTGATTTTCACGGATCCAGTTCCATCAACTGTGATATGGCGATCTTCCCTTTGAGAAACATTAAGGATCTCCTGTTCTTTGCTAGTGCACTTGCTAAGCTCTATATGGTGCAGTCTGTTTTCGTCATAGAGGTTTTGACATCTGTCCACCAACCTATCAGAAGGCTCGAGCTTTCCTGTGATCTTGAGACCAATCAAACGTTTCTGTTGTCCCTCCAAACGGTCCGCTCTCTCAGGTTGGGCCAGTTTTCTGACGGGCGCATCTTCGACACGTTCTGCATGAGCCTTCAGTTCAGAAGCAGTTAAGGCATAACACTCATGAAACAATCTGCGCAGGCTAGCCAGTTCTCCAACCGTTGGTGCTCTACCCAACGCTTCTTGTATTGCATTTGTAAACGGTGTCTCATCTTGCATGCCTGGCACATAACTGGATGAGAAAGCATATTTAGCTAAGGTATTGATGCCACTTGCAACAAGCTGGGTGACCACGTCCTCTTCAAGTCCAAGTGCTGCACATCTAGACCTGAAGTTTGGCTCACTGTCGTCAGGGACATGGCGGCAGTATTGGATTCGATAAACTATCTTATACCATGTGAGTATCATACTTTCTCAAGTGATGTAAGAATTGTTCACTTGTCATTGTGCTACCTAGCATCATTGAGCTTGACACCACTTCCCAAATTGTGGAAATGAGTTTCAACATAACCCATCGCATGATGAGATGCAAGTCCATACAACCAAAACACGGGCCCTTCAGCCCAAGCTGGAGCACAGTTTCTCAGCGGCACAACACCACTGTCGTATGGTCCATGGACCCGTGGATTCCATTTGAATCCCAAATCATGCCCAATTGACATGAACATACGCACATGAAAGAAATGAGAAACTCTCCAGACTCAGTGGTCATGCCAAGTCTCACGCTCATTGCTAAGAAGAAAATTTCCAGCATGAAAAATTTCAACAAGTCACAATGTTTTTGTTTGCCCTGTTTTGACGACTCATGAAAGGCAGTGCATTTTTCCGGCGTTTACTGTTGTTTGAAACAAATGCTGCATTGAGGGGAAAAGAACCTTGGCCTGCTTTGGACTCGGTTGTAACTGGCTGAAATCTCACGGCCACACCTGAAATGCATTTCACTCTCGTCTGCACAAACGTGATAGTACCTTGTGTTACGATTTTGGAACAAAGTGGGCTCAGTCTCGAGTTGCAAGCCTTCGACAGTTGAGTGCTCACTCCATTCTCCAACAACATCATCGGTGGCTCGCTCCAGATCTCGTTGCTGTTCTTCGCTAGGCTCTTCATCTGCAGAGTCCTCCGTGTCAGAAGCTGAATCGTTTTCTTCCTCAACGTCTACGGTCTCAGGTTCTGCTGCACCCATTGGTACATTGAAATAACCTGATCTCGTGCTGTCAGGATCGAACTGCAATTCGCGAATCCATCCAATGACCTTGTCGAGTTCCCGGAGTGGACCTGATGCAGCATCTCTGCTGTAAACCAAACAAGTCCTTGTTGATGGATCCACATGGTATCCCAGGAGTCTACGGCTGGCAATATCAATTCCTGCTTTCGACATCCAACTGAGGCAAGTAGCCTTACAGCTATGTGTACCAATGTCTTTGACTTGATTGTGGCCAAAACCCAGTGCAACAAGTATTTTCCTGAGCCAGTCGCCACCCATGGAAGCTGTCATGGGAACTCTAAGCCATCCGTTGCCAGCAGGCTGAGGGAGCAATGGAAGCCCTTCGCCTCTTGGTACGGAACTCAGCATTCGTGCCTGCTGCCATTGTTTGATCCAGTCCTTCCCCCCAACTCCAATCAGCGGGGCGGCCATCGGGAGGAACATTGTCTTTCGCTCCGTAGTGTAGGCACTCTTGCTTCTTGTAACCTTTGACTCTATGTATCCAGCAACATTGCCTTCATTGACAACCTCGTCAACCACAATGTCTGTCATGTGTTGCATATCACTAAATCTCGCACGCATGTAAATACACAGCAGTCTTTTGAGCCCTCAAGGTTGTTTAGAAGGTAAAACTTCCAGGTTACACCAAACGTCCTAAACTACGCACGCGCAAACTTAAAAAATTTTAAACAACATTAAAACTTAAACAGTTTGAAACATCGACTGCAGTGACATGCAATGCACAACTGAATGCGACGGTCTCTCTCTTTTTGCTGCCGGTCGGGGGATGAATCATCTGGCAATCGGACTTAGGTTGCTGGATCGCCTTTTCAAAGGCCTCAGCTTTGAAGTTATTATCCACTGGATTGTTTCGTTTGAAACCTCAGTGTATCTAGTTGTCATCCTTTTTGGGGGTGGGGATGACTGAAAGGAATGGGTGGGAGCAAAAAGGAAAATGGTTGCACAATTTTGTGCTCCCTCCCACCGCTACCCTTGAGTGGTAAGTCCGGTACAAATAAATAATTCAAATGACACAGAGTGATCAAGATTTTTTATTTTTTTTTGGTTTGACGTTTGGTGTTGTTACGAGGAAGTCTTGTTTACCTATAACCTAAACAACCTTGTGCGCTTCGTTCCTACGCCGGGCACGAAAAGACAAGGCTTTCATAGTTCCTATGATGCACCTACGTCTTTTGAGCCCTCAAGGTTGTTTAGAAGGTAAAACTTCCAGGTTACACCAAACGTCCTAAACTACGCACGCGCAAACGTAAAAATTTTTAAACAACATTAAAACTTAAACAGTTTGAAACATCGACTGCAGTGACATGCAATGCACAACTGAATGCGACGGTCTCTCTCTTTTTGCTGCCGGTCGGGGGATGAATCATCTGGCAATCGGACTTAGGTTGCTGGATCGCCTTTTCAAAGGCCTCAGCTTTGAAGTTATTATCCACTGGATTGTTTCGTTTGAAACCTCAGTGTATCTAGTTGTCATCCTTTGCCTTCCCCCGTTGTGAAATGACCCATGTTAGGTCCGATTCCACCCAAGCAACTTCTGGAAATGAAACGCCGTCGACTATCGCTGTTAGGAGTTCTGGTGGCAAAACAATATCGCCTGCAATTTGGAGATTCCAAAGGTGGCAGGCCTCAGGGGCCTTCTGTCTCGAAGGGAGGTCTGCAGGGTTAGAGTAGGATGGTATCCTTTCGTACCAGCTGAAACAAGGCATGGCTGCCCCCATGTAGGCGCGCGCATGGGACGTCCGAAACAAGGGGTCCGACGCCGAACGCCCTTTGATTAAAGCATATCTGCAAGGTTCATTGTCAATGAACGAAATCAAGCGTTGTCCCTTCAGTAAATGTCTCATCCTCCATCTGATGCACAGCACCGCAAACCTTTCTATCTGACATATCAGTTGATCTCCCACCAAGGTTTCCCAATCATCCAAAAGGAGCGTGGGTACCGCCCCCGCAAAGCAGAGTCTTGTTGAAGTCAAGGTGTCCACCACGATGGCACCCCAGATGGCCCGCTCTGAGTCAAGGGCACCATCAGTATAAATTACACACTGACGCAATGGATCCAAAGGGAAGGGATTGGCTGATGTAAAGGTGCCACTTCCCTTGCTGACTGCCATCTGTTTGGGATAGTTCGACCAGTTTAATTGCATGGGGCCGCACATGTTCAGTTAATGGCCTCGCCCTTGCCAGGCTCCTGTTCATCGCTGCAGTCATCTCCAGTTGTTCCACTGTCCTAGAAGCCGGTTGAAACTTCTCCCCGAAAAGTGGGGAGAAGGATTCTTCCCCCACCAAGTCTACTCCATGCTTGAAATCTTCCACCACTCGCAAGTCAGGGAAGGTGGTGGCTTTCAACCTTTCTTCCAGCAATAAAATGCGCTTCCCTTAGACTACCTCCCTGACATAATCAGGCAGGGAGTGATGCAGCTCATGTTCGGCGTGTTGTAGCTCCTCCGCACGCCGCCTGTAAAGCTTCAGCAGTTCCAGTCGCTCTTTTGCAAGGTCTGAGGGTTCCGTTGTGAGCATTTCGAACATGGCCTTCTTGAGGAGGTCTGGCAATATTTTGCAGTGGTATCCATAGGATGATTGAGTTGTAGCACTAACTCCAAGTGATCGGCCGGTATTTTGCAGTGGTATCCATAGGATGATTGAGTTGTAGCACTAACTCCAAGTGATCGGCCGGTTCCAAAAGACCCCCCCTTTGATCATCTCATCTGCGTTCTGTTCCTCATTGAATTGGTTGTCCACATTGAATTGGTTGTCCACCTCGTTCTCTTCCCCCGCAGTCTTAGGTGGCGAACGTTTCTCAGTATGCTGGTGTATATGGAAGTTTTGCCCAGAAGAATGAGGCAAATCTGGAATCAGTTGTTTCAATGGTTTGTGTTGTCGCCCCTGAACCTGCAAGCTGGTCATACGCAGGTTGTTACGTTGAACGTCGAGACAGCTCTATGGTATGTGTCGCACTATGCATGCTGCAATACGCTGGCTAAGGAGTGCTGGATATTCAGCCTCTGCTGCAGTGTCAAGAACCCATCCTTGGTGAATTGTTTTGGTGGCTGACCACGCTTGATGTGGATGAAATTTTCACATCTGATACCCAAAGATTCGAACACGCCTTGAGGAGCCAAGGATTGTTGTACTCCTGTCTCTTGTTGAGCCACGCATGCATGCATCAAACATCGTGCTAACCAGAGAAAATTACCACTAACTAAAGGTGGTACGGCCAGTCTATTTGACCAGCGTTGCAAGAAGGGGCCAGAGCCAGCTGCTTGCTGGATTCTCCATTAAAACTATGCATTTCAGTTCAAGGCAAATTTGCAACAACAAAATGGCATTGGCGTAAGTTTGATTGGCTTTTCCACCCTGACCTTGTCATGAGGCTTCAAATTGGGCTTCCCCAGCAAATGCTGTTCATCTCGCAGTGGGGCTAGTTCAGGAGCCCCTTGTCGATGCAGGGATATTACTAAGGAACGTTCCCTAGCGCGGGAACAAGTACCGCACATCAAACCAAAATGGACTGCCTTGGGCGTTGTGAAGCGCGGCAATTGTTCTGCAACTCTGACTTCATCGGTGTTGCCTAAATCAATGGTGAAAGTTGGCACCCTTGGTGTAAATCTATTTGAACTATGGTCCACTGGAAAAACATTGCAGCCTGCCTGTCTCATGGCATAAGATAACCTACCTGCACCAGAGAAGAATTCCACGAATGACGCATGACGTAACTCGTGTGGCTGTTCTTCCGTAGACCTTTGTCAGTGTTCACATTGATTATATGGCCGCTTTGCTCCGCACTTGAAGCACTCATGGATTCCAAACTTGCACTTGTTTTCCTTCTGCTTGTTGCAAAGTCCCCACTGATATTTAAGGCAACGCCAACCATTCTGCCCTTTACGCTGACAGCCTTGAGGAAGCTTTCTCCAGTTGCTACCGGAAGGTGCTGCCGGCGCCTTTGGGGCGCCTCCACTCGCCTCTGCTGCCGGCTTTGGCTTTTTAGGAGCCGGTGCTGCTGATGATTCGTTGGCTTCACGTTTTTGGCCTGGAAGTGGAGACAAAAAGCCCAGCACCTCTGGGGACACTGTCAACTGCTCGATCAAGTTGTCCAGAGGATAAACATCTGGATGAAGAGAGTGCAAGTTTCCTCTACTCTGCTGGGAAAGCAACATCCAAAACTCTTTGTCACATTCGCAAATCTGCTGGGTCGAAATGTATCTGTAACCTGGAGGCGGCTCTTTGAGCTTTGCCAGCATCAGCTTCGTTGCCCACTTTCCCAGTACAACAAAACTAGCCAAACCAGCCTGGTCAAATGCTAAGTTTCGGCGTGTCCATGCGTTCCTCAGGTTCAAGTCTCCATTGGTATCACATTTCAACTCCTCAGCACGCTTGCCCATCTTGACATTCCCAGCAGCATCGAAGGTTAAGGCAACCTCGTGTTTCTCTTGTTGGATCTCCTGGATGCGGCTGATGCACTTCTGAGGTGGAATAAACACTAAAGTGCCATCTTCCTTCATGGTCAAGATCTTGTCGACCAGCTTATGAGCTGGCTCCAGCTCTGCTGTCCAAGTAACTCCAATCAGCGTTGATTTCTGCCTTTCTATGCGAGCCATCCTTTCAGCCAGCGGCATCACCCGAGGTTTGTCATCAGCACTGCGGTCAATACGAGCTTGCATATCTGATACTGCATAGGTTTTGCCCTCAAAGAAAAGCTTGCGACAGTAAATCATTTCTTGGGGAGTCACTCCTCTGCCAATTAGGGTCTGGACTGCCTCTTTGACTGGCGTGTCATCTGCACTGCTAGGGTCAGACGCGCAGCAGAAAGCCCATTGTCCAAATGTGTCCAAACTGGCGTCTCTCAATTCTGAAATAAAGCCATCTGGCACCCCAATTTCTCTTGCACGTGACTCCCAGGCAGCTTTGGATTCCAAAGACACCATCGCAGCAAAGCAGATCAAGCTAAATGGACTGAAGTGAAGTTGCAACATAAAACTGACATGTTAAAATGATCCCATGAAAGATTGTGAAATTCTGCAGATTGTCAACGCATCCGAGACTCCAAACGCGTGATAAAAAGAAAATAGAATGCACAAACACTGGCTTAAATACTGAGCCTGATGATGTCAGCATGAAGCTCAGTTGACAGTTGCAATTGCTCACAAGTGTTTGGATCACGACAAAAGTCGCCTCAAACTGTGTGGCGTGTTTGACAACTGATTCCATGTCAAGTTGGATTGTGAGATGCTCACCTCAACTTCTCATGGTTATCTTCTCGATGATGTACCATCGAATTACGGTCTCAAATTGTTTGCAAGAGTTTGGATTGCGACTTTCATGGGCCGCCTCAAACCTGTTTGCAACGAAAACAAATCGACCACATGCATGCCCTACGATATTAATTCATATACCTACAAGTAAGTATATGTATATATAGGTTTGTATGCCAATGCAGAATGCTGATTATGAAAAGGAAAAGAGAAACTTGTCGACCTGATTGGATTCGAAAACATTTCCAACTTGGCCAGCTGCGTTCCTCTTTTTCTCTAAGGTTTGGACTTGTCGCACTGTTGGCACACCAGCAGCTGCTCCCAGTCATGGTCGCCGATCTGCTACTCTCAGCAGTTGGCTGACTTCTTGCGGCCACACTACAACGTCTGCTGATCTCTTGCCATATGAACGACCATGGACTCTTTGTGAAGGAGTCTGTCACCACAAACTTCACTGGCATGTGTTTGATGGTCTCTCATGAAATGTGACTCCTCTTGCAAACTTTCATCTCCAGACACGCCTGACTCTGAGGCAGCCCAGTCGCAAGGCGGCCCTGTCACCTCTTCTGGACCCTCAAACAAGTCTGCATTGTCCTTGCAAATCCTGGCAGCATTCGAAGCATCTGGGTCAAACTTAAAATTTCTTATTACTGTGAGCATGCAGAAGATTCTGGAATGCAAAGCCGTGGGGTTGTTTCTCGAATAAGTCAGCGGCATCATAGACCCCGCCCGCGTCCATATGATGAGTCAGCATCCGTCTCTCATCAATTGAAAAACCACCAAAGTTCCCAGCCCAAGTTGGAATGGCTGCTCTGCATGAATGTGTATTGCACCTGCAAGCTTCTGACAACGTAAGGCCAACACGCATGAGGATCTCTTCGAGCCACATGTTCGCTTCTGCCGTCGTCAAACGCCTGTCCAGGAAACGGCCTGACACTTCAGAAAACGCTGGCATGATCGTGAAATGTCTTTCTGCCTCAAGTTGCATCTTCCGCTTGATGCTCCATGGGTTTGGGTAAACACCCCAACCTACTGCAATGAAAGGCAACAACATTCTCCTACGTTCCATGGTTGCGGTGTTCTTGGCTACCGTTGTTGCAGCCCCCACAAGACACACCTCTTGGAATTGAGAAAAAGTCACCGCTGTAATCTTCGAAGCATCTCCAACACGGCAACTAGAGAAAGTGCAAAAGAGGATGAAGTTGACAAATCTGGTATCCACGGCGTTTTTGGTCAGAAGTGCATGCTCCTCCAAGGCTCGGACCACCCGTGCAGGAAAAGCTGGGGCCTGCTTCAAGATCCTTCTCCGCATGAACATATCTCTGCAGACTCCTGTAATTCTTAATGAAAACGTGTCAGCATGGAAACCAAGGAAACCTGCCGTTGAATGCATGAACCATACTGCTTTCACCGTTGCATCCGCTAAGGTCGGGGCTGACCCTGATTCTCTCAAAAATGAGAGGTACTGATAGACCACATTCTCAGACACCTGAATTGGTCTGAGGTCCAGCTGTTGGTCCATCCAGACTGCCATCTTGTAGTAGTCCATTGACCGCTTTGCCAGTGGTGATGTTGCACGGCTCCTGAAAGCATCTGCAAAAACACTGGAAATGCGATCTTCTCCAGGGAGCTGTCCAGAAACGTCCAGCAAAGTTCTTCCCAACCTAGACTGATCAGGAGCCACCAAAACCAAGTCCCTCAAGCGTCGCAAGGCTTTCGCTCTGAGCTGGTCATCTGTTTGAGCCAGTCGAGTTGTTGACAAGCGTCTGTAATGAAAAGGTGTTCGCAGGGCTTTCTTCTCCGGTGGCTCTTCCAAGGGAGTGGCGCCCATCAAACTGTTTCTACGACCCACACTTGGTAAAGCAAGCCAGGGCATAGGAAGCCTTGGCTGTGAAGCACCACAAATCTGGGCCATGACCCTTTTCTCCCAAGGTTGTTTCAAAGCCTCCTGAGGCTTCTGCAGTTTCACCATGTGGAAAAACAAATGGCTATCGACACCCCCATGTTGCTGTACCAACGCATTGCCAAGAGCCCTCTTTTTGGGCAACCCCAAGGTTGCTGCAGTTTCACCGTCATAGTAGGTTGCAGATGGCACTTCCGATCCAAGCTCCAAATTATCACCTGTTCCAAAAAGAGGGGATATATACTGTCCAGATTCCAAGAAACTCATTTGTTCTGACTCTACCAGACTGTCATCCCATCTATGTAAACCAGTGTTGGGGCCTCGTGCATCCGAAAACCCACCTGGCGAAGTCTGTCCTCCTGGTGAGGCCTCGACCGTGTTTTCACCATTTCCATATAGCTCTCCCACATTTGATCTCCAGGGCATGCTGCTTGGGTCTTCTCCCCCGCAAAACAAGCACAGAAAATCTGGAAAAGCGTCAAGCTTGAAGCACCCACAAAACATCAAAATGAAAAGTGAGGATATGCCCATAATGTACCCGCAGGGAAATGAAGGCCAATATGCAAATTGTTTGGTCTGATGTTTCAGAAAAACAGGCACGTGGTAGGCAGTATGGCGGTCAGTTTGTTGCCGTCGCATCCAGCTCAATCGAGCTAACCTCGCTTGAACTGGTACTGGAGGATGGAGATACACCTGGATCTGAAATTGGACCAAAAGGAAGGGCTACTCTGGGAGTTGAAACTTCTCGCACTGAAATGCTACTCAAGAAGCAGCTGACGCAAGATCGGCACCAGCAAAGCCAAGACGATGAGTCCAGAAATGAGTGCAAACAGGTACGAATAGCTGAAGCACCAAAACCCTGCCAAAAAGTCCAAGCAATAACTGTATGAAGACGTGCTCGCAGCACCACAGTGAAATTGCGAAATCCAGGTTGTAAGAAAGTTCGCGACAGCATGCACTGAACGCAAAAAGGAAAATGGTTGCACAATTTTGTGCTCCCTCCCACCGCTACCCTTGAGTGGTAAGTCCGGTACAAATAAATAATTCAAATGACACAGAGTGATCAAGATTTTTTTTTTTTGGTTTGACGTTTGGTGTTGTTACGAGGAAGTCTTGTTTACCTATAACCTAAACAACCTTGTGCGCTTCGTTCCTACGCCGGGCACGAAAAGACAAGGCTTTCATAGTTCCTATGATGCACCTACAGAAGCAACCCGCAGCATAGACATCTCGTGGAGTGCCCATCATGTTGCTGACATATAGCTCTAGCGACTTCACTTGAGCAACACTCAAGGGCGGTCTCTGCTGCAACTTCCTCTTCATCAAGTAGGACTCACGAGCACAACCTTGAACTCGCTGACTGGCAATGGCATCATCTGAACCCGTCAAACCCAAGACGAAATTGCAAAAAGTCAAAGAAACCAGAAATGACCGCAAAAACGTGGGTGCTGCTCCGCTGCCAACTTCAACCATGAAATTGTACCCATTGCGTTCATGCACAGGAAATGGAATGACGGCATTGTTGTTGCACCATTGAATATACCGTATACCTCAAAATGGGTCCAGCCCTGTTGTGAAGAGTCCCAGTAGCCTTGCCAGAAAAAACATGTTTCAAGCCTGCTGCAATTGACCCTCCGAGTGGTGCTCCTTTCTCCAGTCTTCGACCCAAATCAAAAGCAACAGTAGCAGTAAGTATGACACGTACCCACTTGCGAATGGCTGCAATCCTCTGAGAATTCAGCTGCTGCTCCCAACTGAGCTCGCCTGAGCTTCGCTTCTGCCTAAATTTAATTAGACCTGCAACTGGACCAACATCTTCGTCCACCTGTTCTGCAACCGGAGTGTCCACAAGCAAAATACCTGATGGCACCGTTGGACTCCTGAAAGCTGCAACCTGTGGCATTGGAGGGTTAGTTTCGTAAATAGGTCTGTAAATCGCTCCCCACACTCTGGATCTGCAAAACGCAACATGTGCAGCAATAGCGTCATCTGTTGGGGTGCCCATTCCAAAACTCTCACTCCCCACTTCCAAATAGAAGCCAAAGGAAGCAGGCAACCCAACCCAGTGTAAATGAAATCACCAGAAAGCAAAATTGCGTCCCAATGAAACCATGGCAAATGACAGGACCACCACCGATGTCCTGAAAGACAATGCGCCCCCGGCGTCGAGGGGAACCCATGAACTTCTAAAAGTTCCTTGATATTGGGGAATGTACCCCTTCGTATTCCCCATCCACACCTTGAGCCAAAATTCGTATTCCCCATCCACACCTTGAATCCAAAATAGCAACCAGATAATAAATAGATCCCGCGAACATTACTTCACCAAAGACATGCCAGTTGATTTCATCACCATTTCATCCAACTGATGTTGTTCATTGCAATTACTTAAACCAAGGACATGTCATTTGACTCCAGTAATGTTTCATCCGTTTGATGTTCTTTGTCAGAGTTTATTTGGTTCCTGGATTGGTCAACATGTTTTTTTTTTCGTTTGGCGCTCCATACATTACGCTACTCTACCCCAAAAGGAAATGGTGCTACGCACAATAAATCGAAACAGTGCAGTGTCCGGGTCGTCCATGATGCGTGAAAGAGCTTGAAGGATATGAAGACAAAGTGGTTGATTTTGGGGTATGTCCCAATTTGGTTGCACATTGTGGGACGCCAAAAATTGTTCAATCGTTGATCGCATTTGGTTCACCAGTTCATCTGTAAATGGAGGCTCAGGTCGCTGCTGTGAAAAATGATTCTCAATCTCCGTATGCAGTTTCAGTTTACAAATTGATGGCATCCAATGTTGACGAAAGTCCTTGAACACATCATCTTTGATGGAGGCGGGATGACTCCAGTCAGGGCGAGAGTGGTACCCTGCGCCATCAACATTTGAAATCGGCGTGTCCCAAGTGCCTTTGTTTGGCAAAGATTTCAAAAGATTTTCCACTGAAAAATCAATAGAAGAACCTTTAACCAAAGGGATTATAATGGATGCAAATTTGTTGGCTAATTGTTCTGGGTATTCTGCTGTTCGGCGACTCAGAAAACCTCCGGTATCGTCGCGGACACCTGCCAACTTTGGGTGGTGTCCTGGCGGATGAGAGCATGTGCAAGCAAGCTCTGTCAGTGGTTCAAATGATGAAGCAAATAGCCATGACTTTGGCCAATTTCGGTCAAATGCGCACGCTGCTAAATTGATACAGTAAACCCCTCCCGATGCAAGCCATTGCTGAGTGCAGTTCTCCAACCAGCTCATCGCCGACGGCGGTTGCTCAAGGTGTCCATGCCCCCCTGCTGAGAAAACCACCTGTAAAATTTCACAACATCGGTATAACATGGTGTGACTGTTTTGGACCCTGGTCAGTTCATCCGCAGTTAAATGAGGGAATCCATCCAAAGATTCACGGGATCGAAGAGGTGGAGGTCCACCAGGTTTCAGTTTGAGCACACTGTACTCGTTGCAAGATGGTGAACATGCCGCATAGGCAACTCGTCCAGAAGCTGCCAAACGTAAGAGTTTCAAATAAAAATCATCATTGAGTAAGTCATATGTATTGCATCGCAAAATGTCAACTGAACAAACATCACCCCCTTGTGCTAAAACTGCTGTTGAAAGAGGGCGGGTGCTGCCCGAGCAAATGTCCAAAAATATCCTGGATGGAAATTTCGACTTGTTATGCCTGGAGTCGGTGTTGCTTGGTGTGGTCCCCGCGTCTCCAGAGTGAACAACTTCCGGCTTCTGATCACATTTGGAGGGAGTTGAGCTCTCGTTGATTGAGGCTGGCGGCCCCGGCTGTTGTGTCCTGTCTGGTCGTGGTGAAACTGAATGAGGTGAAAGGTCATGTGATGGTGAAACCCCTTGCTTCGAAGGATGAAACGATGGCTGCATGGATGTCGATGTTGAGGTTTGATTCCCTTGAGGAGCAACCGCTGGTGGTGAAATATCTGAAACTGAATTGTCTTCGTCATCCGAGATGGCAATCGCTACAGAAGGCTGAGCTGAGTTCGAAAGTCAGTGTGGTGTTGATGCGTGTTGCATCGCTGGGTGTGCTAGTCCGCACGCTGTGCCATCTGCTTTGGGGAATGCACATCCGTGATGAAATTTGCAATCCTGAAACGTGCATGACCCATTTTGATATCTCATACAGAGTTGTTTCTTGTGGCCATCCACTGTCACCTCTGTCAGCCACTTGACGCCACTCTTGCCTTTTCCTTTGGGTTTCCCCTTCTTCCCTCCACTGGTCGTGGAAGTGGGGGGAGCCGATGAGGACCATGTTGATGAGCCTTTGCTTGAACCTTTGGAAGGAGAAGTCTGCGGACGTAGCATGCGAGGGCGAGCTTGTAGCAGCATGGCCATGTCGCTCCTGATGTATGTCATCTCATGTAATGCTTGGTCCAATGACCAGCCTTTGTCCATGACCAGCTCACCGATGATGAACCAAATATGTTTGTCTGCCGCCTGAGCTTCCATGATGTTGGGTGTGCGCAGCCCCGTGTCTTGATCATACCTCTGAGTTAGGAAGCTCAAAAACTTTAAGCTATATGCTTTGAGGTGTGCCAAGTGTGCTCCCTCTGCCAACGCAACTGCAACGTTGAAAACATCAAACATGGAGCGCACAGCATTGATCCCCATTGATTGGTTGTTGATCTCGATAGAGGGTGGTTCATCGTAGATCAGGTTGTGTAGTGATAGACCTTCAAGACGGGGGAGTTTTGCTCCCCTGCCAGAGGACACCTCCTCAGCTCTGGATTGACTCAGCCTGTACTTCCAAGGGATCCATTTGACCTCCTTCTTCTGCAGCTGATGGTGCGCTTGAGACAACAAGCGCAAACTTGGCAATGTATCTGGAGTCAGGATTTCTGATGGGTATGAACTCAAAAATTTTGATTTCATGCTGGAAACCACTGAGGCTGACAACTTTGAAGCAAACGTTTCCGCCCAACTGCTATGCGGGTCTGCCGCTAATGCCGTCATGGAGCCTGGGTTTGGTGAGCCTGAGTTTGACTCCTCTACACGTTGATCTTCCTGACAGGATTGCCATGCCACACGCAATTGAGCTTTCTGGAGAAAGCTGAGCTCCTGATCTGGGAAAAGGTCACCCCAGTGTTGATCTAGTTCCGCTGATGTGGATGCACACATTGCAAATGAAGCTTTTGTCCAGCCTGCAGAAATCATGTCAGAAGCCAGGGTGGGCGACAGCCCGGATTGGGACAAAATCGAGTCCAAGTCTGGTGAAGCCATCACGGCGATAATGCCACCGGGTGCGCCCGGAATTCAACGCCCTAGGAAGTCATCACGACTTGTAAACCCCAAAAGTAAATTGTAGGGTGTGTGGACACCAGTTAATGTTGGATCCTACAATGGTAATCCCCTAAAGCGGAACACCATTTAATATGCAAAATAGTAAGTGGGGGCAGCTATGTGAGGGAAATGAAAGACCTTTCAAATCAAGTTGATGGACAGCAAGTGGATTGAAGTTACAAGTTATTGGGATGATGTCATGTCCCCTTTTAAACCGCCGCATGTCATTTGGGAATGGCCAACCTCACACGGTTGGATGCCACTAATGAGCCATGGTCCACACGCATATTCATTGATGTCAAGCTGCTGCATGCTGAATCACAAGAATCCAAACAAAAAATTGTCGCCTGAGACATGTTGATGCAAATTGAAATCACTGCACATGAAAGACTCTCACGGCTGCAACATGCGCCTGGGGTTTTTGGACCACTATTCGCGATCAGGATGAAGCCACTGTTGGCACCCACGGTGCATGCAGCATTTACCCTCTGGGGGAGTGAAAACTTCATGCAATGTGATACGTTGTGATGTGAAACGCCTACCGCATGCTGTCTGGACAGGAACATCATTCCAACAGCTGACACCAGTAGTATCGGTTGTGCATGCAATCATGGCATGATGTACCACTTTCGGGGCCAAACATGCGTTTCCGGGGGTTACGGAAAATCAGTACAGCCGAACCGCTTTGGCTTCGAAATTCTCTGTTCGAATCGAAAGATTCGGCAAATTTAGTGAATCCCCATACCCATGTCCTGCACTCAACTGTACGATCCCGTAACCCCCCAAGAAGCATTCTCGGGGCCAAACATAGCTTTCCGGGGGTTACGGAAAATCAGTACAGCCGAACAATTTAGGCTTCGAAATTTTCTGTTCGAATAGAAAGATTTGGCAAATTTAGTGAATCCCCATACCCATGTCGTATACTCAACTGTACGATCCCCTAACCCCCCAAGAAGCACTTTCGGGGCCAAACATAGCTTTCCGGGGGTTACGGAAAATCAGTACAGCCGCACAGGGTTTAGGC